TCTTGCAGTACTCCTCCACTTTCCAGGAAGTCAAATATTCTATTTCAAATCAGATGGCAGAATGTATGAATTCCTAGTCAAAGAAAAGATGAAATGTTATCAACATATCACTACGATCATATTCCACCACACTGGAATATAATTTACATATTGTTTTTGAAATAACAGTAGTGGGAAAAGACGAACAGTTAATATTGTATTATTTTACCAGGTATAGTTTAGACATGAGGAAATATCAATCAATTTTATAGTGAATTTCCGGGCACTTAGTTTTGCAAAAGCCACATTAGCCTGGAAAATTATGACTTGCCCAAACCCCAGTCAGTTTCATAGCTTCAGTATCTGAGGGGAAATTCAAATTTACATCTTCCACATTCAGACATCAGAGCAAAATGTAGTCATTTGCTTTTGATAGATAATAATGTTGACTGAAATTTTCACACTTTTATATGCATTCATGTTGCAGAGTAGAGCACTTTTCCCTTCATTTAAATGCACTTTGTGCACAACAATTAAAAATGCATTTTTTCCACAGACTGAAAACCAACTCTCATAAGAAACTTTATGATATTCTTCTTGGAACTGTAATTTCTCAATGTAATTTTAAAACTGCCAAAAAAAATCTCACAATTGCAAGAATCATGCAAATCATAATTTTAACTACTTTACTGAAAAATTATTATGTTTACATAATCAACTATAAATTGACTTCATGTATAAATCCAGGACAAGTTTGGGGGCCAAAATTATGGATTTTGATATGACCCATAGATCTAAACAAAGGATCTAAACAACAAAGGATCTAAAGGAGAAGCAAAGGAAAACAATACCAAAGAACTTATAAAATTCCAGCAGAAGTAACTGTTTGTGCTCACCCTAAAGTCTGGACGGATGAGAGAGTAGAGGGGAGTCAGTGCTTCCAGGACAGATTATGTTCTTGCCTTTCACCAAGGGATTGTCCCATTTTTGTAAGAGTTAAAGTATAGAACTTACATTGGCCTATAAATAGGTCGGACCCAAGTTTTTGAGGTCAATTTTTTTAACTAAAATTACTAGATTTATACATGAATATCTAAAGTAATTCTATTTATGGGAAATGCTTATGTTCACAAAATGCAAATTTTAAAAAAGCAGATAACACTATCTCTTGAACTCATTCGCCATAGCAATCAAATTTTAAAAAACAGAATTATCAAAATGTTACTATCTAAATCAGGGGTAGGCAACCTTTTTGAGCCGGAGGCCGGGTTGCTGTCCCTCAGACAATTGGGGAGCCGAAGCACCAAAAATAAATAGATAAATAAATAGATAATTTTTAAAAAAAATAAAATAAAATAAATGCATGCACACTCTCTCAGCCCAAGAAAAGCCATGGCAAAACCCCTGTGGAGATTTTGCCAAGAAAATCCAAAAAACAAGTAATAACAACAATAATCAATATCATCATGGCGGGCGGCGGCAGGACCGGCCTGGGGCCGGTCCAAAGGCCTCAGGGGGCCGCATCCGGCCCCCAGGCCTTAGGTTGCCTACCCCTGATCTAAATAGTTATAAATAATACTATTTACAATTTATTTGTTTCCACAATATAAAAAATAAATACAGTACGACAAAATCTTTCTGAAGTCCCTACAAGCAAAGTAATTTTGCCAATTTATCTATTTATCTTCAGCAATCAGTACTCAAAGGAATTTTAAGACCTACTCTCTGAAGCTACTCTTTTAATATTTATTTTAATTAAATAAACATAATTAGTTTCACAAACACCTTTCTTGTTCAATGTCCCTATCAATATATGCTTTGATTTTTGAAGCATTGCACAGAAGGTACAATTTATACAGATAATTTATACAGAATTCATGAATTTACACAGAAGGTACTATTTATACAGATGTAATTCAGAACTGTCCCATTGTGCACAGTGGGATTTATTCATGACTAGATAGGCAAAGGATTGGGATATAATACTGAACCCAAAAACAACACACAATTAGTTATTAGCTACTTACTATAGCTTTGATGGAAACATATTCATTATGTCAACATGCTTAAAGAGATTAAATTATGCAGTGCAGTTACATATTCTGCGATCATGTTCCACTGCTATAGATGGAAGTATCTGACATTTGCTATTTTACGCCATGTCACCATGACTGAGAAGGGCTAGAACATTCTATGTTTTTTAATTCAATGTTTTAAAGACAAATATAATTGCAGACTTTCATTTTACAACATAAGTGTTCCAGGAATCACCAACAAAATATTTTTTAATAAATATATAGTTGAAGATTGCAGTCCTACATGCACTTACCTGGAGCAGATCTCACACAATTCAATGTGACTTACCTCTGTGCTTAAAAATTAGCTGTTAAACTACTATAACGTAATAGCTTTAGAATACTGATAAATAACTGATTCATAAATGTCCTACTATTGCGTAAGCCCATTAATCACAATGGAACTTCTGAGTAAACATGCATAGGACTGTACCGTTAAAGTAGTCAAAAATACTATTGGTATGCTTTTTCTTCCCTTGCTTTACCATTTTTCATCTGTGTGTCCAATACAATCATTTATAGTACCTACTACACTACATTATATGTTTAAAGCCTAGCCCTAGGGCATCCTTTTCAACAGAAGCCTAAAGTGAAAGTCGATCTCACTGGAATTTACTCTCTTGGATACTTCTTAGCATAGTGGTATTGCATACACAGCAACAAATTAAATATTTCCAGGGAAAATATCTTAATTCCTAATCCTTCACACTTGAACAAAAAGGACACATAAATATACATTTGCCCTCCCAATTCACAGGGAATCCATCCCGGACCCACGCACCCCCTGCAAAAATGGCAGTTCACTAATATTGGAGCCCCATTGACGCACGCCCAGCTTCCTAAACAAGATAGGAAGGCTGTTTTCAAACAAAACCATGTTACATACAAAAATGTTATGTAATAAGATACAATAAGCCTGCAAATTCATAGCCAAATTCATATTCACTTTATGGAGCAGCCATTAATATTTCAAGCTAAAGTCATTCCTACTAATTCCTACTATTTTATATTGCAAATATTTGGAAAGAATGCAAGCACCAATTGCTTTAAATTTCTTTGAAATTTAAATTCTTTGTTGTAATAGGAGGCATTCTTTAAACATCTTGGTAGGGATTAGAATTTTCTTCCTCAAATCAAATCAGTTTTATTTACGGTCTTTGACCAAAATAAATTTAGGCCCCCTTTAATCATCTTCCTGTGGTAAAGTGTTACAAGTGCCAGCTTAACCAAAGTTATCTTCCCTCTGCAATACTAATAGGCCTTCTTGGTAAAAGCACCCAAAATATACTTCCAACAGACATGCTAAATAATATAAACACTGGCTTTTTGCTGTTGTTGTCATTGTGTGCCTTCATTTCTGACCAATGGCGGCCCTAACACAAACCTATCAAGCAATATGCTAAAATGTAATAATAATAATAATAATAATAATAATAATAATAATAATAATAATAATAATTTTAATACCCCACCTTTTGCCTAAGCAATCAACATCTACGTCTTTTTAGTCATCAAAGCAAATTATGGAATTTACAGCAATGTTTGGTATTTTAATAACTCACAATTTAAAAAAAAAAATAGTGACCAAAAAGTGCCAGGATTTGTTTTATGGTTCTGCTAGGACCAGATAGATGCTTCCAAGTGGTACCTATAATTATTCTCCTTATGCATCATGCCACCTACAATTATGGCATTTTTGCATCATATCATCTATTCCAGGTAAAAATTACAGTTCAGCCCATTAATCTTCAGGTATTGCCTCTAATTAATCACTTTGGACATATGTTTGCTACAGTTTTCCTTCACTGTGAATGGCAAGGTAGTTGGTATGAGATACTAAAGCAGGGGTAGGCAACCTAAGGCCCGGGGGCCGGATACGGCCCAGCAAGTCCTTTGGACCAGTCCCAAACCGGTCCTGCCGCCGCCACCCCCCACCGCCGCCGCCGCCCCCCCATGATGATATTGATTATTGTTGTTATTACTTGTTCTTGGGGTTTTCTTGGCAAAATCTTCACAGGGGTTTTGCCATGGCTTTTCTGGGGCTGAGAGAGTGTGCATGCATTTTTTAATTTTTTTTAATTCTTTTTTAATTTTAATTTTAATTTTTATTTATTTATTTATTTATTTATTTTTGGTGCTTCGGCCCGTCAATTGTCTGAGGGACAGCAACCCGGCCCGCGGCTTAAAAAGGTTGCCTACCCCTGTACTGAAGCAACACAACTTGGTCCGCTTTAATTTGTGTTACCATCCATCTTAGTTCCTTAATCACTACTGATAAGACTCGCAGGGTCAAAAACCATTTCTCTTTTACAGAGATTATTATATAGACATCTCAATCAAGCAATGTGTGGTTTTTCTACCCATCTCTAGTCCAGGCCTCTCTGGACAAGTTCCTTTTAAAAAGAGAAAGAAAACCGACGCTACATATGAAACATTGTTGTTTCTTTTTCTCAAAAAAAGTGAAGTATTCCAGAGTTCCCAGTCCTGATGAATTCAACTCAGTAGGTGCGGAATAGGGAGAAAGAAAGAAGATTTGGAATTTTTTGGGGGGAGGGATAAAGAAATAAATCTTTCTCCAGAGCCCCTCGTTGCTCTCTGTGCAAACTGGGGAGAAATAAAATTTGAAATAAAGAAAGAAATTCTACTTTTTCGGCACGCAAAGGGGATCCTGTAGCAGCACCTTTGAGACTGACAAGCGACAAGGATATTCATTTCCCAGACAATAACAGGGCTATAGCTTTGCTTTTGGGGGGGCTGCGAAAAGAAAAATCTCTCTCTCTTTCTCTCATTGCTGCTTGTGCAAAGTATTGGGAAGCTGTGGAGAGAATTAAAAATGGAAATAACCGTCCAAATTATTCAGCAATGGGACCTCCCTGGAGGACAGGAATATTTGCAAAGGAAAGACCACCAAGGAGAAGCGGTTTATTAACATTAGAAAACATTAGAGCCAGTGTGGCGTCGTGGTTTGAGTGTTGGACCACAACTCTGGAGTCCAGGGTTCGAATCCCCCGTTCGGCCATGAAAACCCACTGGGTGACCTTGGGCGAGTCACACTCTCTCAGCCTCAGGGGAAGGCAATGGCAAACCGCCCTCTGCAGAAACCAGCCTAGAAAACTCTATGGGTCGCCATAAGTCGGGAACGACACGAAGGCACACAACAACAAGCATTACTTCTCTCTCAGTCTGTTAACTGTATTAACGCTGATGCAGGACCTTGGGCGAGTCACATTCTCTCAGCCTCAGAGGGATGGTCATGGTGCTACAAGAGAGCAGCAAATAAAAGCACACCTTCTTCTTCTTCTTCTTCTTCCCACCGTGTGGAAATTGGCCTACTCGTACTCCTATTTTTATGGATACCAATGGCAAAAAGCCTCCTTTCTGGAGAAGCCAGAAACAAGAAAAGAACCCATATTTATATAGGTTGGCCTTAGGGTCGCCATTAAGGCACACAGCACACACACAACATACACACAATCCTTGAGGGGAGGAGAATCAATATTTGAAATATTCATCGCAAATGGTTCCATGAGGGGAAAGCTTGGCTGCAACTCTGGAGACCAGGGTTCGAATCCCCCGTCCAACCCAATGGGAGACCTGGGGCGAGTCACACTCTCTCAGCCTCAGGGGAAGGCAATGGCAAACCGCCCTCTGAAGAAACTTGCCTAGAAAACCCTATGGGCCGAGGAGATGTGGGGCCACGGAGCGAGTTTATTTGCCCCTTTTAACCCTCTTTCCTTTCCTTTCCTTTCCTTTCCTTCCCTGCCTCCCCACCCGCAGAGACTCTTACTTTTGGAGGAGTTGGGGCAGGCTGGGTGCTGGCTGCGGCATCCCTTGCGGCGGGAGCGGGGCCGAGCCTCCCCGAGGGGCATCTTGGCCAGGCGGCGGCTGCGGCGGCGGCGGTGGCTGCTGGTGCTGCTGCTGCTGCTGCTCGGGGCGGCGGGGCTCCGGGGCCTGGCTCATGGCAGCAGTGGTGGCTAGGACCATCCAGGCCAGCCAGGGAGCCAGCCCGCGCCCCCCCCCCCCCCCCTCAGAAGCCGCCGCCAGGGAGAGCGGCCCCTCCTGCAGGCAGCGGCAAGGGCAAGGGCGCCCAGAGCCCCTCTCTCCCTCCTGGGAAGAAGAAGAAGGTGTCTCCTCCTCGGCTGAGGGGGCAGCCGGAGGCTCGGGGGGCGGGAGAGGCATTTATGGCCATGCCTGGGGCCCCGCCTGTGGAGGGCGACCACACGCGTCCTCCTTTTCCAGGACACGGCCCTACATTTCGGGCATCCTGCCCAGGAGGAGATCCAAAATGTCCTCCCTTTTGAGCGGGGCTCGGAAGCCTG